TCAATTTACCCGCTCTAACATGGCATCACGTCATTAAAACATTCTTCAAAACCACTTAGGTGCTTTAAAAGTTAAGGGGTTAAAAGAATAGTTTTTGTAGATGAGGAGAGTGGGGGATTAAATGGACTTTTTCCTTTATTTTTAGGTCTTGGGGCCCTTTCAACCGCAATATGGCCCAGCATTCCAGCAACGTAACGCCCGAGCCATCAGGCCGTGATGGGCCGCTCACTGAAGATAGGCCGCATGCCACACACAACATAACCTGGGCTGCCGCGCGACCTAGAGCTGAAGCCTAGAAGCACTCCACTCCACTACACTTCCGCCCCCGACCAAAAGCCCCCGTCGTCGCGTCCCCAACTCATCCCATTCTCAGCACGCCAGGCACGGCCGAGCGAGCGCTCCTCCTCCCAAACCCAAACCCAAACCCAAACCCACGCCGAGACCGATGCAGGTGGGTGAGGTGTCCAGCGGCGGGAGGAGCCACCGCGGCGCCGGAGCGTCCGGCACCGTCTCCGAAGACCGCCGCGTCACCGTCTTCTCCGCCAACGGCCGCCTCTACCAAGTCGGTGAGTGCGCTGTGCGCGCGCACGGAAAACCCCGAAACCCGAAGCTCCGCGCCGCCCGCCGGCTGCGGTATCTGATGGTCCTTCACTCCTCTTCCGCGTCTCCTTCGCAGAGTACGCTTGGAACGCCACGAGGCTGGCGGGCGTCACCTCCGTCGGCGTGCGCGGGGCCGACTCCGTCTGCGTCGTCGGCCAGCGGAGGGCGAGCGAGCCCAAGGTGAGTGCCCCTGGCCCCGCGCGCCCGCGGCGGCGATCGGTCCATGTTTAGTCTCTCGCGTTCGCTTGATTAATCGATCATGATGCTCTTCTGCTTGCTTGCTTCTATTCTAGGACAAGTTGCTGGACATGACCAGCGTTTCGCGCCTGTTCCCGATCACCGAGCGGCTGGGGTTGCTTGCCACGGGGATCGTAGGTGACCTCACCAGCGCTTGCTTCTCTTGTTATTTCTGCCCGAACTCTTAGCGGAACGTATGCGCTGTGTCTGATCCATTCTCCAATTGCTTTAATGCTAATGCGGTTCCAACTTGTTCCGGTTTTGTGGGTGATGTCGCTCGGGAGTTACGGGGTAATGGCGTAATACACCATGCGCCGTGGCGCAGCGTTGCTTTATTTATTGCGTGTCTCATGAGGGCGTTTGAAAATTGAAACTGTATGGTGTATCTTCAAAATCCACCTAGGAACTTTTTTAATTGAGCTTTGAGCTCTGTAGACTTGCATTTGGTTGGTTGACACACCAACATACTACTGTAATCATATTGGATTTGATAATCTGAAACCTTTGGTTATACACTGCAAAGGATCAATTCGACTGTCATCAGCGCACACATATAATAATGCATTAATGCATCACTTCGTCGAAGTTGGTCTAAATTCTAATGATCTGTTTGGTTTTCCTGATTGATGTGAGCCATTTCCGCCTTATGTTCATGAGCATCGAATGCATGATTGCTAGCTTGACATTGCTTGCAGCAAGGTGGCTCTGCCAATTTATTACTTCTGTTTCCAATCACCATTGCATCAGACCATTGGTTTGGTACCTTGTTGAACACCAGGCCATTGCCATTAAATTTAACATCTGAAATTGTTTAGAATTTACTGTTGAAATTTGAACTAACTCGAATCACTATTGACCAGTACCACCGTGCGGAGCACTAAAGATAGTAACATCAAAACATGACACAATAGTAATGTTTATTTGTATGCTTCTTTTAGAATGCTGATAATCATAGCTCTTTCTTCAATCATCATTACAGGAGAGGGACGAGCATTGGCTCATGAGGCAAGGAATCAAACTGCAGCATTTCGTTTCAAATGGGGATATGAAATGCCTCCTGATGTTTTGGCACAATGGTAAATATTGACCTCAAGGAAATAGATACTAGATCAGGACTTCACACTGGCAGTGCCTATAATTGCTTGCTAACATGAAAATAATTCTATCTGCATCATTAGTTAAATCTCACTCATGTTCAGTCTCGTGTTGGATGTATGAGAGGACACTGAGATATCCTCTCGAAGGTATTTATCCTGATTTATGCATATGTTTTGTCTATCTGTTGATCCTGCACATTAAGTTGAAGGAAAGAAATTAAGTGGGGCCTGTGAATTTCAAACACCGTACAGTACAGAGAGTCATGGGTCGTCACAAACCAAAACTATGTTTATATATTTACAATGTATAATGTTTTCTTTCATTAATGATAATTTATATATAAACACGATTTTTTTTCAATAACCTGGCATACTTCTGTATTTAAACAGGGATCTTCTGCATGTAACCAACTGCATATGCTTGTTCTTCACAGGATTGCAGACAGAGCACAGATCTGGACCCAGTATGGTTCCAAGAGACCTTCTGGAGTTGGTTAGTGCAATGTGATTTACATATTTGAGGGTGGTGTTCCTTCCCCATAATAAAATGGGAGTGGTGGAACCTGCAGCCATGTTTTACTATTTTCTGTTATATATCTTAATACTTAGAGCCTTAGACCGCCCTTGTACTCTCCCATGCAGTTGCTATGATTTTGGGCATTGATGATGAGAAAGAAACTCCACAGCTCTTTACATGTGATCCTGCTGGGTATTTCTTCGGTCACAAGGTATTTATTATTCAAGGAAATTTGAGCTACTCACTGACTTCCTTGGTTCATCAAACTCATAAAGTCATAATGCAAGCTATTTCTCTTTTGGATGATTTTCACGTCTGCAGATAAGACAGTGTTTATTTATAAATTCTGTAAAAAATTCTTTGGTTTATAACCTCGATAAACATTCTCGATGGATAAACTTATATCATCCCATTTTACATGCATCAATTTGGAATACATTCTGTATCAGAAAGACATGACTTCTCCCATGCATTCTTTTCAGGCAGCAAGTGCTGGCCAAAGAGATGGGGAGGCTGCCAACTTTCTTGAGAAGAAAATGAAGAACAATCCTTCACTAACATTTCAGGAAACCATTGAGGTGCGTGTGTTTTTATTTATTGAGAGCAAACTCGATGAAGGTATGCAAGACCTCCTGTGGATGAATAGAGACAGGAATCATGTGATTTACTGTCCATGACCATCTTCATGGTGTCTTTTTAAATTAGCTTGAGCAAACCTTTTTATTTGAGATGTTTTTTTACATGTTTTTAATATCATATTGATTCCTGTCAACGCATAATACAGGAGGGTGTTAGCTATTTGGTCTGTGCTTGTGAAATTGTGAGTTACGACGACAGCATGCATTTTATACAGCATGGTTCTTACAATTGCAGTAATAAATGTTCTTTAAGACAAGTACTAGTGAGATCTATAACAATAACACTGTAAGATATCTCTGGTGAACATTATTATAAAAAATCAGGAGTTCCATTTTGTTGGTTATCTACACATGCTATTAAAAAATCAAATAAAACCCAAGTAATCTAAAAACACTCGCTGAACCTTTGGGTGTTTTTTTTTCTGTTATAGATCGTTTTCCGGAATCATGTAGTAAGTTCAATAGAACTGTACCTGGAGACTTTATTATTATATTGTAATAAACTACTGAATGCCACTTTGTTATTTTTTTCTTCTACACTTGCTTCAGAAACTTGTTTACAGTTTAATGGATTGTGACTTGGAACCTAGTTTGCATATTAATTTGTGAAAGCATGTTGGACTCGATAGTGTTAATGCATCTTTCTGTGAGCTGATTTGGCCTTTATTCTCATAGCACAGTGATCAGTTTCCTGACTTGGTGGTTCAGTCCAATTTTGATTTATTCTTCTCCTCTCATTTCCAGATGGCAATATCAGCATTGCAGTTCGCCCTGAAGGAGGACCTCAAAGCCACAGAAATCGAGGTACTTAATCATTTTTAGCTTCTGTTGATATGCTGTCATATTCGTCCTCGTCCATCATGCATGCTCTGAACAATGCAAGCATATATAACAAGTAATCACTGTTCCAGGTTGGGGTAGTCAGGACGGATGATCCAACTTTCAGAGTGCTGACAGAAGCTGAAATCGATGAGCACATGAAAGCCATCAACCCACGCAAAGCAGAGCTAAAGGCCAAACAGTTTCTCAGCTACTAGTCTTCTGAATCTTCTACAGCTTATGAAATCTTAACCGGGAGCCGATTACCGTACATCAGAGCCGTATATGTCTGTCTAGACCGAAATGTTCTGCAGCTTATGAAACGCTTAAAGAGTAAAAAGTGTGTCTAGACCTAAATGTTCCCCAGTTTATTCCGGTATAAACTGACATGGAGAACTCGAATGTCTGTCTACGAAGACACTGCTTCCTGCTTCCTGCTCCTGCTGTGTCACCTGCGCCAGAGATAATTTCCCGACGAAGTTGGTCGAGAGGCTGCTGAGGAAGATGTCCCCGTTGAACTCCGTCACCGATGTGACGGAGTTGAGCACCTCCCCTTCTGAGTCGTCAAGCACGCGGACGAAGGTTCAGTTACCTCCACGTCTCGCAGACGACCACAAACGTGTCGTCCCTCGGCAGGGCGACGCCGTTGGCGCAACTGAGGCGGTCGAGCACGACGGACGTCTCACCGTTGCGCGGGTCACTCGTACCGCAGGAGGCGGCCGGTGGCGCGGGACTCTAAGAAGTCGTAGAACCACCTGTCGAAGCCGAACCTAGTGCTGACATCGCTGAAGTAGACCGTGCCGTCGGAGGCCTCGATCGCCGCGTCTGTGAACCTGGTGTAGTGGTGTTGGCCGGCGGGCGGCGCGGGCGCGAGAGAACGGTCAGCGGTGGCACCGCAGGGTGCGATTTCGTCCGGAATTTGGGTAGGGATGCGATGCGAACCTGATGGTGGAGCCGTCGACCTCCGAAGCAAGAAGGGTCACTCCTTCCTCCCCGACTCTCAAAAGTCCCTGCTCAATCAGTTACATACAAATTATACATACAGTAATAAACAAATATTGCCATTTTTTAATCGGTGTTCCGTACATGTTTTCATGCTGCTGTAGTGCTGTTCATCGTGACAAGTGTTCGTAGTTTCGTACTAGAACCAACAACGCTAGCAAGTCCTCCCATCGGTGGTCGGTGGAGGTACCCTACTTTGTCGGCGTCGCAGACGAGCATGGTGCCGTCGGCGGACGGCGCGACCCCGAGCAGCCCGTGCCGCCGACGAAGCGCCACCGCTCCCAGGAGCCGTTGTTTGGGTGCATGCATCCGCTGCAGCCACCCGTCCCTGGTGGCCGTGTACACCGTCCCGCCCGCCGCCGCGTCCACGTACACGTCCTCCGGCGCGTCCAGCGCCCCTTCCCCAGCTTCTCCAGCCTCTGCAGCACGGCGCGCGTTAGCGTCACGCACGCGCACGAAACGGCAACAACAATTGACGAGCAGCAAGGATTTTCCCGGACGACTCGTTAACCTGGAGGAGGTTGTTAGGCGGCGGAGTGGACGGCCGCGGAGTCGACGGCACCGGCTGCACGGGGCAGTTGAGCACGACGTGGGGCGCGAGCGACGCCACCGCGGCCAGCACGGCGGCGAGGAGGCCAGGCGCCATGGTCAGTTGGCCACCACGACACCACCTCACCAATGGACGACTTAGTTCCAAAGAAGCAGCTGGCAGTTGATATCACGGCTGTTTGAGCTTTTTACTATCTTGGCCCTCGTACGAGCGCTGAGTTTTCAGAGATTCAATCAGTGCACGCTGACGTGTGGCGGCTTCAGCCAGAAGGCAAAAAACGAAACTATATATCACTATATCAGTTTCCAATTATATAAAAAAATATATCTCAATTTGCCCTGGATTCGCAAGCAATAAAGAGCACTGGTCCGGGACAGAAGATACTTCAACAGCAGACGAGCTGCGTGAGGGACCAGGGTCTCAGGGATGTGGCCCAGCACTCCTGCAGTGCACATTAGAACTCCTGCACGAGCATCTGCTTTATTTGTAAATTGCTTTTACTTCGTCATTAATTGTGATGTAGTAACTGCTGGGAAAGCGTGAGAGATCGACATATAGTTGTAACAGCCTTCTTCTTAAGCAAACCCTTAGCTTAGAGCTCTTTGGTTTAACATTCTAATTTCTGTCACATGACACGTCGTGGATATTAATATTTTACGAAACTAATTGCACAACTTGCGACTAATTTGAAATCTTTTAAGCCTAATTAGTGCACCGTGGTGCTACTAATGTGCGGTTTAAAAAATCCTGCCTCCATCTACACTTGGAAGCTTCACCCTTATTAACTCCTCTCAACACAATCTTTGCTTGGAGGCTGACCATTAACTCCTCTCAACACAATCTTTGCTTGTGATAAGTGAATCTCAACAATTTCTTTCTCGAGTGTATCCAGGGTTGTGAACCAATCTACATGAATATCATGTCATAGAACTTGATTGCTAATATTCTGCTATCATAAGTGAAACAATGCCCTGCATATCCATTGCAATTGTGGGATCAATTGGTCTGAGAGCATCTGACTTCCATCAACAGTTGTGAAGTGTAAAGGATCACATGATTTCTGGTCTTGTTCAATATGAGAGGCTAACTCCAAAGGACAGTCCCAATGCTACAAACTACATGTAGTTTCTATACTTATTAATTTTTATAGACACTACACATAGAAACCATAGTCTCAATTGATAGTTTCTACAGAATAATTTTTTATCCAATCATATACGTTCTCTCTCTATTCTCTGCCAATCACATCCCTTCATGCTTTGGTTCTCGTGTAGATATGGTTTTTTAACTTAGACCCAGTTTCTATGATTTTTACTCTCTCTTCAATAACTACCTTGCTACATCAACAAAACGCTTAGGTGGCAGTACAATTAATGTCTACAGAAATTATGGTGGTTTCTGCATTGAGAGTGCCCTAAGGCCATGTACAGCGTAGGGCGCTTATGGGTAGTTAATGATCCATTTTTCCACGGTGGAAGGGAATGAGGGCGCTTGGTAGCAGAGTCGCCGCTTAACCAAGCAGCAGCGCTTCGGCCGAGCGGTACACCACCTGTGCAAGCTGACACATGGGCCTCTCCCGCTAAGCGTCTATAAGACAAGAGTTTGCATTGTAGGTTAAACTCTAGTGTTAATTCTCTCTCTTATAAGAATCTATCGCATTGTACAGGCCCTAAGTCCTAGCTAACAAAGGTTCAAGCACTACCAGAGTCTACCAGAATACACACCACATGCTTGCCAATGAATCGCCTCAGCCTCAGAGTTCTATTCTTCCTTTTGACATTAACATCTCAAGGTGTCTGCTGCACAGTCATGGCAACATGTCCTGCTGTAACTTCTGGATCCTCCTCAGTAGAGGTATAATCTAGATCAGGCTCAACTTGAACAGGCTCCAACAGCTCTTGAATAACATGAAGAGGAATCAGGTTGGGCACTTATGGTTTCTGCCTGTCCACTTCTCTCCACAGGTGAAACAAAAGGTTATTGGCTCGGCGATAAGCTTTCAGAGCCAACAAACTTATCAAGGGACCAGTAGGCTGAGATGGTTCTGCAGTCTTACTCTCATCCTTCTTCATCACTGGTTTTCGCTTATCTCCAACACAACTAAGCTTTGACTAAAACCTACTGAATCCCTTGTTGCCAAACAGACTTTTGCTTTTCATCGGATTCAACTCCACTTGCTGCGTGATAGCCAACTCACTAGCAACTTGCACCATTTTCGGCCTATGCAGCCCCCCCAAAAAAAACATGTGACAAAGAAAGTATAATCATAAGAGGAATTATACAGAAGAATGTCATGTGATAACTCATCACATTTGTATTGATACTCCTACAGAGCCCAATTGTTTCAGAGAGTCCAATTGCCTCAATTGTATCTGATGTTGATCCTTGTCAAAGCGATTGAAGACAACATTTGCCGTCGAGTCCCAAGTCTGAAACTGACCTTGATGCTGAACTGTTTGTAACCAAACCGCAGCCTGACCTAGAAATTTGAGAGAAACGAAACGAGTCTTCAAGTCGGGATGAACCTCGAACACCTCGATATACATCTCGCATCGATCCCGCCATAAGCGTGCGTTAGAACCATCAAATTTTGGAAGCTGCATCTTAGGAATAGATTGAGAACGGAGACCTCGACCTCCCTCCCAACGGAATGAATGGGATCAGGCGACATACCGTTGACCAGGCATGGCGAGGGTCCGAGGACGCCACCACCAGCATCCCGGTGGTGAGCTGATTCGCCACGCCCATGGGGTCGTTCGCTCGACGGCGCAGATGCGCGTGCTGATGGGTGAGGAAAGCGATGAGGTCGATGTGGCCGACCCAACCGCTCGGCGAGGGGGGTGGAGGTGGTGGAGCCTCTAGCCAAAGCAGTTGCGCCACCGTGTCATCGATCTTAGAGAGCAGCGGCCCCATCGATTCATCCACCGCGCCACGCCATGCATCCAATGTGGAGAGCTTTGTCACGGGATTGCTTCATCATCGGTTGGAATCCTTCAAATTGCCTGAACAAGTCCTCCAGCGTCGCCATCATCTTCTCCTCATGCTTGGTCGGCCTCGGAGCATGTTCTAGCACGCAAAACAACATGAATCCGGTGAAAAAATTTGGCACAAAACAACGTGAATTCGGTGAAAACATCTGGGTCTCCCGAATCGAGAGGCTCATGTTACCAATTTGTCACGAACTAGAGGGTCGGGTAAGTAGAAATGAACTGAATCAGGGTAGAACAACAAAGAAGTAAGGAACTTTCAGTGCAGGCGACATTCTCGTCAGCAGCGAGCTGTGACTTCGTCAATTTTGAGAAATTGCCCGACCAGACTAAATGACGAACGTTCATTGGAATTGAACCGAGCAATCAAATTTCCGACATGCTTATGTTTTCTTTTTGGAAAAAAATAATTCCATCTTTTCCTGATTTGGATGGCGCGGGTGTGCTTCATTATCTTTTGGTTCTCGGCTGCGCATGCGCTCATCTCCTGCATGCGCTCATCTCTCCTGCATCCTGACATCAGCGCTGACACAGGCGAAAAAAAAAAAAACATTTATTTCAAAATGTTATAACTTCAGAATGATGTATCCGTTTTTAATTCCGTTTGCACTGGCATGTTCTACGCGATGAGGCACACAAAATTAGACCCTACTTGCATATGTTTCAAAGCATTTTTTTCCTTAATAGCAATTTATGTGTACCGGCTTATAACATATAACTTACACGAAAAACTTAAAAACTCAAGGGTTATGAAAACACAACTTATTTACAAAGTGTTATTAAACACAAAAGAACAAATTAACTTATAACTTGTGCCAAAACTTACAAACACAAAAGTTATTAACACACAAAAAAACAAATTAACTTATAATTTATATCATAATTTAGAAACACAAAAGTTATGAAACAAAACTTATATATAAAAGTTATCAAACAAAACTTGTGTACATAAGTTATTCTATATAACTTATATACATAAGTTATTCAATACAACTTCTGTGCATAAGTTGTAGGTTATAAGTTAATATACATAAATTATTACTAGAAAAAAATATTCAAAACATAAGCAAATGGGATCTAGTTTTATTTGCTTCATTGCGTAGAACACACCGGTATAGATAGAATTAAAAATAGATACACCGTTCTAAAGTTATAGCATTTTGAAATAAATATACTACTTTTTTAAAGTGAAGTTAGGGTAGTTGGAGACTGTGCAGGCGCCTGCAGCCTTGCCGGTCGGATCGTTCGCTGGCCTGAAATCCAGTGAATGACCGTCTGAATGGATTTGGGGATTTACCGGTCCAATCTTCGAAAATATTTATAGAGATAGAGTTTGCATGTGTGTGCGTTTATAGAGGTGAGTGTACGTGAGTTGTGAGTGTCTGAGTTATACTGTGTAATCGTAAAAAGAAAGAGGAAGAACAGAGAAGAACAGCAAAGAGGATAGCTGGGGGAGGAATGGTTTAGATTTCTATTATTCCATAACCGTTTCCAAACAAATCTAACCCGCTTATATGCTGCCGTTACCTCACACACGACTTGGGCTGAGCCCCTGCGCCTACACGGGCCAAGACCAAAATCCGCAACTCCACGCAGTCTCTAACTTCCATGCTCAGCCACTCTTCTGTCTCCTCCCGTGAGGAAGGCGTTTCCTGACACAAGGACCAATATCTTGGCCCGAATGCTCGCTTTTTTGGTTGGCACGATCGGTTATTGTACATCAGATCCATTTATTGACAATGATAATTTATAGACAATAAGGGACCCACACTGATGCCCGCGTCGCTCCCCCACGCGGGGCGACTCGGGCGGCCCCTGCCGCGCCACCTCCCTCTCACCCCTCTCCTCCTCGCCCGCCGCGCCACCGCCGGAGCTGGCTGCCGGCATGGCCGCCCGGGCGGCTGTGATGGTGGCGGCGGGCTCTCCCTCCTTGTGTTGGCGGCGCACCTGCAGCAGGCCGGCGGTCCAGCCCCGTGCGACCGGCGTGGTGGTTGACGAGGTGGTTGCCGCGGCTGCTGCAGCGCCGGCTGGTGTCCGTGCAGGCGCAGGGGACGGCGGCGAGGTCTTCTTCTTCTCCGCACATTCCCCTTCTCCTCTCTTGATGGCGGT